CCTGGAAGGGGCAAACAAGGAGAGGGAGGGCTTGTTAGTTTACAGTATTCTGAGAAGCTGGGCTGAGCAGAGAATATTTGCATAAATCTGGTTAAAAATAACTTTCTGGAATCTTGCTGCAGTTCTTGTCTGAATCACGATAATTAAGGCTGTATTGAAATTAAAATCACTTCTCACTCATTTGAGGAGGTGTCAGCTGTACTTTGAACACTTGGACTCAGGGGTTCCGAGGTCTTGAAAAGGGTGTGATGGGAGGTTTTCCCATTGGTTCAGAAACTTTACAATCATCACTCAGCTGGAAGTGGATTTCAAGAAGCAGCCAATGCCCCAAAGTGGCCTGGCTGAAGGTAATGAAATGGACATATTATGGGAAAAGTGCCCCCTGGTTCTCCAAGGAAAAGGGGCACCCGCTGGCTGCTTCAGTGAGTGGGTTGTGATTTTCCTGCTATTCACACTTCTTTTAACTGCCCTGCCTGCTTCAGCCTTTCTTTCTAGATAGATCTCCCTGCATGCCTGGTTTTATGTCAGAAATCCTTCTCCATGTGCCTCTAATCATTGTCATAGTTCCCTCTGTCCTGGCCCTTTCTTGTTATCTGTGTGTTTATGTGTGTGTGTTTAGAGACAAGGTTTCACTGTATAGTTCTGATTGCCCTGGACCTCCCTATGTAGACTAGGCTGGCCTGCACTCGGAGATATCTGCCCACCTCTGCCTCCCACTCCAGAATACTGAGATCAACAGTGTGTGCTATCACACCTGGCATCATCATCTTTTAGAGAACACACATACACAGAAGAAGAAGAAGAAGAAGAGAGAGAGAGAGAGAGAGAGAGAGAGAGAGAGAAAACAACTTCATTTGTACCACTTTATGGGACATGAATTGATTTCATTTTCCCCAAAGAAAAACCATCAAGAGATGTGTTCATAAACTCCTAGAGTGCAACACATACAGTCTGTATGTTGTCCTTTGGGAGGAAATATCTCTGCATAGTTTTTATGTAATTAAAGAAAGGTTTGAGACATAGTGACTTCTGCAGACTTGTTTTGCCCCACAGAGGGCCGTGATGCCTAAATCTAACAATATGGACTTGGGAAGGTCTTGAACTCCTGTTGTTACTAATTTTCCGTCCACGTCAATCCACAAGTGTTCCTGAGACAGGCAACACTCAGGAAAACAAGAGTTTTGATTTATGCTAGTAACTGTTACACCCTAGATCTTATGGGGGCTTAAAAAATTATTACAATGGTTCTGCAGAATTTAGGCACTAACCAGCACCACTTGGTAATTATAACGGGGTTCTGGTTTCCTTTACTATACCATTGTATGTTGGCAGCACTTCAAATTCTTGGCACAGATATTCAAGTGAATTTAAAGAAACATGGAAAGCAAAGAAAACATAAGGGAGTCTTGAGTGTCTACATGTAAGAAGAATCATTTTCTCAACATGCAGTCAGCATGGACTCATGAACTTGGCAAAATGGGAACCATGACAAGCTTTTGTAAGGGGCTTTGAGATGTTCTCCAGAGAGCGCTGTCACTTCTTTAAACCTGTCTCTTGTTTTTATCCACCAAAGGCAATCAGATTTGCTTGAGCCTTCTCTCTTGGGACAGGTAAGGTTCTGGAACATCCATGAACAAGAAATGAAACATATTCCCACTGTATGATCCATGAGACCCAGAGCCATGCCACCATGAACCCTGGCATTCTCACTAAGAATGACTAGATTTGCCCAGAGTTTCGTTTTGGAAATTTACATTAAATATCCAAATTGCAAATGTGCTTCCCAAATTGATGGGGGGTGGAATTTAGAGCATTCCTTATGGCACACTTTGTATTAGCTTCAAACTGTAGAAAGAATACTGCTGTCATCAGTGGGAAATGTTTCTGAACCCAGCTTCCCAGTTCCCCTCATCCCAGGGCTGAGTAAACACATGCCATTTCTGAAATAGATCCTAGTGTTCCTTGGCTCCTCCCTGTGACCTCAAGTATATTGATAAATCATCATAACTCATAATGAAAGAAAAACTGCACACTATTGAGAGTCATGACATTACCACCCTGAACAGTCTTGGAAGCTAAGCAGGTTCTGGCCTGGCTAGTACTTCAATGGGAGCATTGAGAGATACTACAATCAGTAATGTTCACTTGCTTTCTAGCAGAGCATAGGAAGGTGGGAAATAGGGTGTTGTGGCTGGTACTGCTGAGACAAGAGGATGGCTGATGGGGCAGGGAGACAAATTTTAAAAATCTTCAAAATGGGGTTCAGTGACACCCTGGCAGTAGGGACAACAGGACAAGGTATCTTATTTCAAAACACTAGACAAGCATCGGTAAAGCATGAACATTTATATTTAATTTACATTTTAACAATTTGCACATAAATAACAATGTAAACCAGTACGTAAACATAAGATAGTTTGTTGTTCTAGCAAAGTAAAAAGCCATAACTTTGGTCAGTCTTAACTCTGAGGGAAAAAAAAAATAAAACCACTGTTAATTGTGGGCTCAACACTTACATGTAAGAGGCCTAAGAGGAAGACAGATGGCAAGAAAAGCAATTAGTCCTTGTAAAAATCCTCCCAACACAAGAAAACACAGGAAGAAAAACATCATAAGTTCACTAGAAAGAAAACCTATTTGGTGTCAATGTCATACCATGCTTTGGTTTACCTACAATTAAGGACAATTTTCAAACATGGATGCATCCAGAAATGTCAGTCTTGAGTTGGGCTGCAACTCAGTGACAGCTTGCTTGCTAGCATGTGTAGTATCTCTGGTTTTGATCCTTGTAGGTGAAGAGAAACCCATCTTGCTAGTCACAGCAACAGATAAGTAAGGCTCTCGGTTTTCCCTGGATGATTTGAAGTTTTCCTCTTTGTAAGCTGATAGATATATACAAAACACTACCCTAAGCATTAGACTGCAGATCGAGGAGGTGTCAGGATTCCAAAGGAAGGGGATGAAGAGTGTATAGTGGAGATGGAAAAAACGTTTTTCTTTCTGTGACCCAACTAACACAAATGTAGCAGAACAGTCAAATAAGACAGATGATATTACAAAGCAAAATGCTGTTTCCAGCTGGGCGTTGGTGGCACACGCCTTTAATCCCAGCACTTGGGAGGCAGAGGCAGAGGATCTCTGTGAGTTCAAGACCAGCCTGGTCTACAAGAGCTAGTTCCAGGACAGCCTCCAAAGCCACAGAGAAACCCTGTCTTGAAAAACCAAAAACCAAAAAAAAAAAATAAAAATAAAAATAAAAAAAATAAAATGCTGTTTCTATTCCTCCCTAGTCGCTACACGGCCCTCACCTCTGCACCGTGGTGCTATGGTCTCTGGTAGTAGGCAGGGTGGTGCCCGAGCACCAGTGTGATTGTGAGGTCATGGAGTTTCAAGCAAACCCTCAGAAAGAGGTTCTTTTTACTCTTTAGGAAAAGTAGGTTCTATTACATGGCTTGGCTCACAATTTAAGTGGTTATAAATATATATACACATGGTATAGTTGTATAAATAGATTCATAAATATACATAATTCTTTGCTACACCTTGAACACCAACAGGTAACCTTTGGGCTTAGACGAGTACAAGACAGAACAACCCAGCCTACCACTCCAGAGCACACATGCTCAGCTAAGTAGCAAGTCATGAGATAAGACATCACTTCCTGCACTCCTACTGGATACACTCAATGAGGTAATTGTTGTTGAACAACTTTGCAATGCCCTTTCATCTTCAATTAAATTAATTATAAAATGCAGAAACACAAATACTGAGAAAAGCTGAGTTTTACAGAAATTACAATTGATGTGTTAGGAATAGGAATGTTCATTACCCGCTTAACCTAAGATGACAAGAACACCCGTTTTTTATTTGTTTAGTTTTCAGTTTGTATTTTAAGTGTGGTCTGAGCTTATCTACATCAAATCCTTCTATGTAGGGCACCACCTTTGTGCAATTTTGACATTAAAAAACAAAGACAAGTCAACAACAAAATGACACCCAGCCTCAAGCCACCAACCCTCTCACACACACACGCATACACACACAATCATCTGTACTTCAAGACAGATTATTGGTGGTTTGTACATGGCATTTTTATCTTCTTCACATTTTCAGATAACACACTGGATGCCAAAATCATATGGCCACTCAGAATGGTCCTATGACACTGGAGATAGGAAGACCCTATGTTTTTGGAGGGACAGGCTGGCGAAGCCTGTCACTATTTTGGTTAAAATTGTGGCTAGGAGGGGAAAAAATAAACTATCATCGAAAAACATAAAATACTCTTTTTTTGATTCCTTCCCCTCAAATTATTGCTGAGTAATTCTGCACACATACCCTCAACTTACACAATGTTGTTCAAATGGTATTATTCTCTGAGTTAATACACCAACCATATGACTTTGGCAATATCAAAAGCTCATTTTAAAGCATTGTTATAGAGAAAGGCTGACTGAAATCACACGGTTGACATAAGTCTCAGGCATTTCAACAGATGTGCAGAAGTTATCTACAAAGAATGGCCACAAGACAATCATACATTTATACTCAAATTACAAAGAATCTTTCCAGTCATTGTAAACCTTTTAATTATTGCTTTTTAAAAGATAAACTGTATAATAAATTATGAAGGATTATCATTGAAAAAATAATTATGGCTAGGCAATAGTTTTAGTAATAGTAAGGCTATGCAAACATATCCACACAAATATTCAAAATACACATGTTCAAATATATAGACATGGCTGTAAATAAGTATATATATATATATATATATAATATGTATATGTATATATAGTTGAGTCTTTGCCTCATTTATGCCCTGAGATTTTGGTAACTTTGGAGTCCTTCTTAAATTTCAGAGAGGTGCAGGGAACCACCTGCTGCCAGGAGTTTTGCAGATCTGGAATTGTTTACAAGCAATTCGATACAGGCACCCTGACTCACCAAGTCATAACCCAAGAAGCAAAGCAAAACAAAACACTTATTTTCTGAAAATCTTAAGGATCCATGGGTTCAACTGTTTCTTGTTTGACCTTTACAGGTACCAGAGGTAGTGGGTTGCTGTGAGGCAACTTCATGAGGGGCAGGTCTGATGACTCATAGAGGCCACACCCTGAGGAGAGGAGTCCGTTTCCCAGGTTTCTTTGCAAAGACACTTTCAGACCAGTTTCTTCTTTCTCTTTTCTGACCACAGCTAGAATCTCCTTCTCCACCATAGAGGTCACATCCATGTTGTCCTCCATGTCCTCAAGACGGTCAGCATTGTCACTGATGTCAAACTTTTCAATCTCGTCATTGATTCGGGTCAGATCCTCCAAAGGCAGCCCGGCAGCTGGGGCCACGGGACAGTTGCCCTTCAGGTGGACCTTGAGGCTGCTGAGGTGGATATAGCTCTTGTGGCACTGGGCACACTTGTGAGGCCGCTCCCGGGTGTGCAGTCGCTTGTGCAGCTTCAGGTGCACAAACTGGGTAAACTTGGCAGGGCACACCTTACACTGGTAAGGTTTTTCTCCAGAATGCAGTCGAAGGTGGGTCTTGAGATTGCTTGTGCTGCTGAATCGCTTGTGGCAGACCTAAAGTGTGAAGAGGAAAGAATGCAGAGAAAGGAGAGAGGGAAAATTGTAAGATTAAATATTGCCAGTGGGAGCCCAGAAGCCTCATAATGGCACTCATGGTGGAGTATGCAATAAGGAGGGAGGGTGTAGTTTATCTGTGGCCATTTCCCCACCCATCACTGGAAGCTAACTGTCACCCACCCATCACTACAGCCTGTGAGCAGCCACAGAGGGCCCAGGAGCTTCGCTGTTCCAGCAGCCTGTGGCAAGGCAGGAATCGTGTGTTGGTGGAAACAACACTGGAAAGTAATGCCACAGATACTTTCTACAAAGGTCAAAAGTTCTACCCAGAAAACTCTGCCCACCTGGCATTCATGTGGCTTTTCTCCTGTGTGTACCAGGTAGTGTTTCTGCAGGTGGGCCAGCTGAGTAAAACCCTTGTTGCAGGTCTGGCATTTGAAAGGCCGTTCTCCACTGTGCACTCTCAAGTGGACCTGGGAAGAAGCCACAGGGGTTAGCTCTGGGGTTTGAGATGCAGCCTACCACTTAAGCTTCTGCTCCAAGAGCCAGGTGCTTCGATGCAACGATCTTAGGAAAGGCATCAAAATAAACCCTGCATTTTCATTATTCAGCAGGGAGCACCCGTGCAGCTCAGTCCCAAGCTGGGTCTCTTATAGCTCAAGTGCAATTAATAATCGGCAGCATGGCAGCAGGTGTATGGAGGCCTACCTTCAGGTTGGAGAGCTGACCAAACGTCTTGGCGCAGACATTGCACTCATACTTGATCTTGCCGTTCTGCTTCTTCAGTGGGTAGGGAAGAGTCTTGTAACCAGTCATGTTTCTTTTGTTTTTGATGAGATTCATGGCTCCATCAGTGCTGGGGGCTGCCATCACTGCTGAGGTAGCTTTGGGTTGTACCACGTGTTCTGACGTGGCTGCGGTGCCCGCCGTTGGCGATCCGCTGGGGGGACTACTCTCGTCCTTCATGCTAGCAGCAGTCCCAGTAAGGGAAAAGGCACTGTGGGGCGCGGGGACAAGCACCTCTCTGGGGTGCTCCGGTGGAAGCAGCCTTCGGGCTCCATCCGAGGGCAGGGAACTCGGTAGAGAAGCCGGGCTGAGCATGGGATGAGGCAGGTTGCCCCCACTGAGGAGGTTACTGTAGACAGGGTACAACCTGGGGAAAAGGCTGAAGTTGTTGATGCCATTGATGTTGTTCATGGTGCTCAAGCCATTGGAACTTATGCCATAGGGTGGCAATAGGAACTTGGGGTAGTGAGCATTGTAAGAGGGGATGAAAGCTGGTGGGAGGTGGGGGGCAGGTGCATAGCCGGGGTAGGAGCCCAGGCCCTCAGAGCCATAGGAGGCATTCAAGTAGGAGTAGGAGTCCCGGGGTTCTAGGGGGCCTGGCGCCAGGGGTGACACGGTGTTCCCTGGGCTGCTCTGGGGGCTGGAGCTCTTGAGGCTCTGCTCGGGGCTGCTACTTGCTGGGGGGCTCGGAGTTGTGGAAGACGGAAGGGGACTGTTAGTAATATAAGTGGGTCTCTCTAGCCCATAGGCCAGGGATGCTTTCAAAAAGTCTTCGGGCAGTGGTGCCCGGATGGGGTAAACAACCCGAGGGTAGAAGGGCATGTCAGGGCTCCCATTTTTCCTGAAGCCATCCATGTCCTTTTCTGAAGTGAGGGATGAAATGTCAGGACAGTAGAAGTCCTTCCTTTTGGAGGGATTCGAGTCCAGTTTTAGAATTTCTTTCACGCTGTACTCTCTCTTGGGGACAGTCTTTGGGTAAAGTTCATTTTTCCCACTACTGTATTGCTTTGGGTAGCTTTCCGTTTGTGCTAAAATGAAGAAGAAAGGACAGTTACTCAGAGACTGTGGAGAGCCGAAGTGAAATCAGAAAGCATCCTCTTCTTGAGAAACCCTGAGTAGCAGCTGGCAACACAAAGGCTAGACACCTGGCCCCTGACGCCTCTCACTCCAGAGGGCTTTGGGCCACCCACTCAGAAGCCTGCTCCATTTCCTCAGAGGGGAAAAAAAGTGGGAACAACAACAACAAAAACGGGAACAATGGCAGCCTCCACAGAGCCACAGCACCCCTTGGAAGATCTCCTTTCCGGTAGTGCAAACTATGACAGAAAGTGCTGTTCAAACTGGAACAGTAGAGCGCTCACTGACATGGGGTGGAAAAATACAGGGGTGGGGGGTTGTCACAGGTTAATAAGTCCTTCTGATGTTTGCAGTTCACCTAAAGGAAATAGGCACACTCTGCAAACTTAGATGGGAGATTAAAACTAGTTTTAAGTAATGAACAGTCATCAATTTTCAACTTAATTCTTTAACTAGGAACTCCATAAAGCCCTGTTCAAACCGCCTATGCCAAATAGACTAAGGACAGCACCAGAATTTCACCAAGCTCTGGTCTAACTAGGCTACCATCTGGGCTGTCTCCTGGAATTATGAGGCGTGACAGCCACCTCTGCCAAACCACAACAGGTACTTCCCAGGCCAGTTCAATTACTTACAGCACCAAAGAAAACAGAGGCAGCTAAGAGGAAAGCATTTACTCCTAAAGACGCATGTATTCCCTGGTAAGGCTCAGAAACAATGAGGCCCTTCCTAGACTGTCCACCGCCATCTGGCCCAATTACTCAGGGAAGATGAAGCCTGCAGGAGAAGCCTCAGCTCAACTTCCCTGGCCAAAGATAGCACATACGATGCACAAGCTGAGCTATGGTTCCTGGGGTGCTCTCTCAAACAGGCACTCCTACCCAGGAGTAGGCTGAGGGCAATGGGGGTGGCATGGGTACAGGGGAGGGGTTACACATGCTCTGAATAGAAGCAAGATTCTTGGCCTCTGCAATTGAAGATGTGGCAGGGTGAAGATGACATTAGGACACACACACACACACACACACACACACACACACACACACACACACACAAAAAAAAAGCACCTCCTACAAAC